GGGCGTGCGGGGCAGGGGGGGCTGCGGGCCGCCTAGGGGCCTGGAAAAGCTGGACGCACCCGGGAAGGAGGAGGGGCGCGGGGCTGCCGCTGGCTGGGATCTTTGTGCCGGGCGCTGTGTGCTTACAGGCTGTCTGCTGCGTGGGGACCCGGGGGGGCTAGGGCGTACGTCTCCATGAAAAGCAGATGGGGGAGAGCTCCCAGCTGCTCACTTCGACAGTCCTAGTGTAAAAATGTAGCTCAACCAGCAGGACCTGGCGAAGTGACTTTTTAGCCCTGCCTCTGTGTCAGCCGAAATGTGAAGCCCCACGCTGGAGACCTAGAGCAAGGAACCCGAAAAAGAGGGAGGAAAAGACCGAACCCAACCAAGGGGAATAGTGTAGAATAACATACATGTGCTGTTAATAAACCAAGAGGGTGTTAGTGGGTGTGTTCAGATGTGACTGGAGAGGTTGTTGTGTGTCCTAATGCATACAAATCATGAACAAAGAAGTATGTAAAGGGAGCCGTGGACAGTGCTGCTGTGTGTTTAAAAAAAAATGCAGCCAGCAGTGGAAAAAGCAAATAAACGGATAATCAGATGAACAAATGTTGTTAGTGTAGGAGAATAACAGGGCATGTGTCTCCTCCGTGGGATCCATAGGAGACTTACTTCCATTTGCCTGGTGGTGTGGTTACTGTAAAAAGATCAAAGGATGTGAATGTACTGTACTAATTTTAGCTTATAGCCATTGCAGAAGTAGGAGAACCCTTGACTAGTATTTTTCCTCAGTAAGTTTGAGATTAACTTTAAAGACTTTTGAAATGAGTACAAATGAGGAATATGAATTCTTGGTTTTAGCACATCTCATAAAATTGTGATGTGATATTTTGCACCTAGAATTAAAATCGTTGTCTTGTTCCTTATTGCGTAGGTCCAGAGAAGAACTTTTTGACATCTTTCAAAACTGAAGAATCCAGGATTTTGAAGAAAGTACATTAGGGACAGGTTAACCTTTTCCCATCAGTTCTGCTACCTAAGAGACCATAATTTGAAGCACTTCCCTGGTATTTGCTCAGATGTGTAATTTCAAGGTTTAGTATTTTATATTGATCACGCTGTAACAAGTGGTACAGATCTACGCGTTTGCAATATAAATTTTGATTGTTGAGGAAAAAATCTTCTGCATAGAATCCTCAGAAGCTATATTTTACTGTGGACTGTTTTACCTCTATGTAAATCCAGAAAGGTTAACATTTGGAATTGAGACATCTAGTACGTACTGAAAAAAAAATCAGTTTCTCCAGATGTATTGTCTCCTCTGTACTTTGGGAACATACACAACTGTATAACTACAGATGAAGTCATGGAGTTATTGCCTTTTGAGCCATATGAGAAGTATTATTGAGCCTTGGTACCAGGCATTGCTTTCTTGCATGAGCAATTGAACAAGCAACACTCTTACCATGATAAAGTGTCTGAGTGGAAAGACTCTCATTGTCTTATAAAGAAGCTGTTCAGTTTTACAAGAAGGTTAACTCAGTGTCATCCTGTGACTTGTTCCATGCAGATGTGTTTGTTTAAAGATGGCTTCTTATATCCAGACTTTAAGATGTTGAAGGTGTATTGCTGCTTATGACCAATCCCAGGGACGAAAGTCTACAAAATGGCTCAAACCAGTTTGCTGCAAGGGAAGCAGTTTTACTGTAGGGAATGGGTTTTCCACAAGCTTCAGCACTGCCTTCAGGAGAAAGCTAACTGCAGCAACACTGCTGCCAACAAATCATCTCTTGTGGGAAATTCTGGGAATAATGCTGGTGTTGTCTCTGGGAAAGGAACTGCCTGGGGTGTATTGTTGGTAGGAGGGCCTGGTAGTGGAAAGACAGCCCTCAGTACTGAATTATTGTGGCCAAGCTCACCTGCAAGCCTACAAAGAGGCTTGCATCGCCAAGCTTTAGCTTTCCATTTTTGCAGGGCCCAAGACTCTGATACACTATGTGTTGGAGCGTTTATTAGAGGTTTAGTTACCCAAATCTGCTGCAATGGATTGATACAGGGATATGAAGACAAACTAAGAGATCCTGCAGTTCAAAGTCTCTTGCAGCCTGGAGAATGT